CCGCCCGCCTCGCACTGCGTCCCTCAGGCCCGAGCGGCCTCAGGAGGCGCCGCTTTCCCCTTCCCAGTGAAACGCGTCCCTCCCAGTGCCCGCGGGGCACCTAAATCCCTGCAAATCTGACCTGGAGGAGTGTTTCGGAGCCAACAGCCCCTCCCCAGAACTCCGACCTCGGAGCCGGACAGGGAGCGCTGCAGAGCTCTCAGAAAGCGCTCAACAGGCACTAGCATCAGTACATTGGTAACGGGAGACAAATCTGTGAGGCAGGCAGTCCTGAAATGCCCTTTCAGAATTGCACTTCGGGGGAGGAGGTGTAAATAACCAGCACTGTTAAGACCTGCTAAGTTAGAATTTCACATTAGGAAAACAAACAAGAAAGTCTGCAGGCACGGCCGTAGCCCCGAGCAGGTGAGCAGGCCCCGCCGGGCGGTCAGAGCCCCCAGACACGGGGCTCACAAGGACAAGGTTCGATATGGGGGAATTAAAAAAGAGGGGAAAAAAGAGGAAAAAACGCCCCACAAACACAGTACACAGTTATTTTATTGAAATACTTGAAAAGGCCAGCAATGGAAAAATAGGTCTGTAATGAGGAATTAATGTTTGATTTACTTGATCCTTAAAAAAGCTGTGTCTATAGGTAATTCTAGCCAGTTACAGAATGCACCGTGATCCATGCAACTACTATACTAGAGTAGAATAGGCACTGTGTACTATTTTAGTTTTATTTTATACACAGCTTTCAACAGGTATGACTGACAGATGGGAGAAATTAAACAGGAACACTTTTTGAATTATAAACATTTATAAGATACTAATTTGCTCATCTGATTCAGAAGGGTTATAAAACACAACATAGTGGAAAATGAAAAACATGAATTACACACAGCATATGAAGTTGAACTGGCAGTTTTTCAAGTTTACATTTCTCCTTTTGAAAGAAAAATCAGACTGCTAAGTATGTCACTGGGCATGTAACATACAAAATCCTAGGCCAGGACAGCAACAGCGCCTTTTTCTTGAAATACATAGTGGGGAAACTTGTTCATCAGTTAAAAAGAATAGAGAAGAATGAAAATCACAAATTCTGCCTGGTATAGCTTATAGTCAAAAAAGATGAAGTCACTTCAGATGAATGTGAAATAAATAAGTAATCCTTCAGAAGTATGATCCTTGAGTTGAACCTACTCTACCGAGAATGAATCTTGACGATACACTAGTATGTCACCATGGTGAAACATCCAGGAACAGTATTTTGAAGAGCTTTCTGGGAAGCAATGTCTTATGGCTTTAATATGTACAGGTTATTTACAACAAATTCCCTTTTGGCCTCACAAGTTAAGCCATGTTAGCTGGCTGGTAAGATGCAATTTTTTTTTTTCCCAACATTATATGCAATACTGTATTCAGAGCTATAGTTTAAAATAAACTTATGCATGAATTACAAATATTAATAAAGTAACTCTGCATATATAAATATTTCTAGCAGAATTTAAAGCATTCAGAATGTACATAAAAGTGGGGTTTTTTTCATTTGGTAGGGTCAGATGTGCTGCTTCTCTCAGATCATCGTTGCTTTAATAATGCTTTGTACATAGCAAAACCCAGAACTGCAAAGACAGTAGCACCAAAACTTGCTCGGAGCCAAAACGTAGAGCTCTTGAGGTCCGCTTGTGTCACATGCCTAAAATTTAACACACAAACAAAGCCAGGTTAATTCCATGAAAGAATAACTGACAACTTTTGCTAAACTACTCTGCTTTTGGAAATTCATCACTACACTTGTCACAAGCAAGCAGCTTACACTTAAGCCTTATGAGTACTTGTAGAGTCATTTTATTTTCTTAAAAGCTTAGGATTTGATCTGTAGCTCTGATCATATTAGTAGATCTCACTAAAGTCTGAGAGCTCACACAGCTGAAGAGAAACACAGGAGCAGATCATTAGTCATGAAGGTGAGGAGGGCAGTTTGTCATCTTTGAGAGTACCAGCAAGCATTCAGAAAAGGAAAACAAAATAGCTAGCAAATAATAAACAACCCATAGTGAGAACAACTCTGTCCACAAAATTCCTCTTTTTTTTTTTTAAATGTTGAGTTCGCATATTTTTGCTTTTCCATGAAACACTTTCCAGTCCTGTTGAACATCTACTTATACTTCTTCCTCCCCAAAATGTTTACTGACAAGTAGCAAGTAATATTTTTCCAAAAGCTAGAATCAAAAGGAAGGACCATTTGTAAATTCCTTTCTTCCCAGTACAGTCATCACAAGAACAGCAATAGAAAGTCATCCAATACCAAGCTGAAAGCTAAGAGAAAGTGCTAGTGAAACAAGCAGTGATAATGGCATCAACATAAAAAGACAAGATGCAATGACAGTATGAAGTGACTGTATGACATAAAAAGCCACATCTTGCATGACAGTAGAGACAGCCAATGACTCAAATCTCCCAAATATTGCAAGAAGTCTGTGAGCATGCTCAGTTAAACACCGCTAGCCGTCCTCAAAAGTAGTCTCAAGTATGACAGCTTACCATAAAGCAGGAGCTACCATTTAAAACAAGTTATCGTAAACGGCATAATTCAAAGTACAAGAAGTTCCTAAACAACAGTAAAGGTTGTTTTGGTGGTTGCTTGGTATCGTTTAAGATAGAGCTTATAACAGAACTTCACTAGCCTATGTATTTTAGCCTGTATTAATCACCGCGGGTTACTCAATGAAAGCTGCAGGAGTGTTAAGTACAAGGAGCATATAAAGATCCCAAGCATACGTGGTGCACAAGGGAGAACTGCAGAGCTGTAGCACATGAGCTTTTTAATAAAGCAGGAACTGTTACTTGTTACCAAAAACCACAAAACCAGCTTAAGATATTCTTTAGTAGGAATCTGCAGGAGCAATCTAAGCCATACAGATGAATCGGTGCACTATCACACCACGTGCTGAAGAACAGGCTCTTGGGTGCATGAACAGCAGAACACAGCCGGTCTCTAAAAAATCCTAGTCTTATTTATCTTGCTGGGTTATGTAATATATCAAATTCAGGAATTCTTGCAAGCATTAGTTCTTCTACAGCTAATTTTGACAAACTCTCTGCAAACTAGATGTCAAGTGGTTTGCTGATGGGAAGAAAGGGAAAAGGCAATGGCAAGGTCACCTTACTTTGGCTGTTACCTGTCTTCAAGTAAACGTGGACCAAGAGATGACCCCATGAAGATGGAATCTTCTACAAAGTTGACGGCGTGCACCTGTTGCATAATACTGCTCTCCTCGTCTGCTAACAGCATGGCCCCCAACTCATCTATGTAGCGTCTTAACCTTTTCACACACATGCACAGTTGGCAGTTCATAGCATGGCTCAACAACAGCAAGTGTCTCAAATACGTTCAAATAACAAAGCCCAGAGAACATGTATTTTTTAGCCATCTAGCCCCTGATGCTTGTGCAGTTGTTAAAAACTTAGTGCTTGGGAGAAGAGAGCAAATAAATGGAATTTGTACTTTTGATGAGCTAAGTAAAATATAAGATTTTATGTAGCTAAATGCCATTACTTTAAGGACAAAGAAAATGGCTTAAGAAACTGAATCTCTCCCCACTCCATCCCCAAAGCTTCAACGTTCCTGTGTCTACAGGCTACTGCAATATTCCTGCACGATACACATGACCTAGAGGACCTGTGCCAAACACACTGGAATGACTCCAACACATCAGCCCTGGAACTGACAAGATTTCGTTACTGTTGATAATTCAATTAAAGACTGTATTTTAATTTTTTTTTTTTTTTAGTAAAAGTTTAGAAAAGTCTCGTCTTCAGATCTGTAAATTATAAAAGTTATCCATGGATGCAAAATAAATCACTTGTATGTAGCATGATTTTAACAGATTATGTGACAAGCTCTGCTGGGTGAGCATTTGTATAACTAATGACTCTCAAGTGTAATTTAGTTAATTCAAATGCTCAGCTATTTGTATAATTCAAAAAACCCCATCTCTTTAAATGTGCAAATAACTGTTTAAGTTGCAAATGAACGCCTCTGCATTGCCTCATAAAGCATTCTCTCTTAGATCTAGATCTTCCGATTCCTATCTATAATTTGCCTTGTTTTGACTTTTGCAAGTGTCAATAGTTAATAGTATGCAAGAAACTTGCTGAGCATACTTCATCCTTTTAAAAACAATTAATATATTCCAAGTCATGATAAAATCCTCTTTTTGTGTCTAAAGGGAGAGTAAATTGACTCTGATCCTTTTTCTAAGCCTAACAGTAAGAGACTCTTTCATTTAACTAGAGGAACTAAATCAACGCAGGGATTTGTCTTATAACCTCAAGGAAATCTACTGTCTTCAATACGAAAAAAGGAGGGCCCTCTGAACATCTCAGCCCAAAAATCTAAAGTCCAAAAATCCTTACTGCAATTCAGAATGCTATGGATGTCTAATTGCTTTACACCTTTGAAAAAAAATCCCATTTTTCTTTCTTAAATGCTTCTTATGATGTCATAAATCAAATTTTTGCAACTTTCATCCCTAATATTGTTTGGCTGCCATTAAAGGGAAAAACAAAACCTATCTGAAATAATAAAAGAGGATCAATGTTTGTTTTCAGTGCAGGTTCTCAGACATGAAGGTGGCTACAATGCAGAAAAACTTTTCTCAGTATACACTGAAAAAGTCTACCTCTTCAATAAATAATCCTCAAATTTTAATCCAGTTTAGTTGTGTTTATGAAACTGACTTTCACCAGGGTTAGAAATTACTACTGCCCTGCTAGTAAGACAGCAACTCTGAAATAGAAAAAAAATTCTCTCCAAGTGTAAAACATATGGATGTGCACCTATACGCACACACACACATACAGAGAGTAGTAGTTAGTAGACTCCATAAATGAAGCTGTATTTGAAACTCTTGCTTATTAGCAATAATAACTGGCTTTCCAGCTTCCCAAATAGATTAGTGTGTGTATTTAATCATGCAACTAGTTGCATACACATCATAAAGTCTAGAAATTTTGCCTTTGGCATAAAATTCAGGTTTTAATGCACATTTTGGAAAAAAAAAAAAAAGACAGATTTTTATTCAACCTACTCTTAACAGTGAGTCAAGTAACTTGTAGTTTGTTGCCCAAGAGATGTGAAATCTGTAGACTCTCTTTTAAGATGCTTTAACAACTCACAAGAAGCTTGCACCGTGCACTTACCAAGAGGTTAACTGAGCATGCCTGTCATGGTTACACACAGAAAATTGCTGAGTTATGGGCCAACACTTTTCCCCATGTCAGCAGCGGAAAAATCCCACGTCTGGGAAGGTTTAACCTTAACTACGAAAGCTGAAACACATTCCTGCCTTAACTACA